TTTGCGGGGCTGGTTTGTCTCGCTTCGCGCTGCTCTGTCTTGGTCTTGAGCTTTTTTTTTAAGATTTATTTATTTATGCACACAGAACTGGGGTACAGTGCAGGGGCGGTGAGAGGATTCACAGAGACAGAGTGGGGAGCAGAACAGGCCGACTGACGAAGCACACTGCTGAGGGGAGCAGTAGGGAGACAGGAGAGGTCTGCCGTGCCCTGTGGGTCAACTCTGGGGCAGGCGGGGATCGAACTCATGCTGAAGTGGCTTTAGCTTCTCCGTGCTGCACTTTAACCCGCTGCGCCACCAGGGAGGGCCCGGTCTTGAGCTATTTTGTGGAGAGCATGTGTATATGGAACTGTCTTCCTGAGGACCTAAAACTTTTGATGAAGAAATATAGATCCTTTGAGCTCTAGTTTTGTGCCTTAGAGTCTTTTCTGTATCACCCAGCGAAATCCACTTTCTTGCTAAGAATTTGTTCTAGTCTTTGCCCTATTTTCACTTCCAATTTTTTGATGTCCCTTTGCTTTCTGTGGGTCTTTCAAAAACAGCTAAAACTTTACCATTATTTAAAAACCACAGCTGACAACTCTGTATTTTAGAACAATTTTATATTGTTTTTACACCATTCTTCCTTTACATACATTGCACGTTATCCCCCCGTGTACCCCCAGGCCAATTCACTTGGGCAGCACCGTAAGTGGCCCTTGGTTTCCCACCCGTTTTGATCCAGTCTCCTCCCCCCTCCCCGCCCCCCCTCAGCCCAGCCCAAGAATGCCCCCCCCATCTGTCTTTCTGGGCTTGGAGGCCTTTAGCTCCCAGCTAGCCAAGGTCAGGCTCCTCCTGCACGCCCGCACCCCCGGCCCCAGAGGACCCCCAGAGGTGAGAGGTGCTAGCTCCCTGCGCAGGAGAGCCCTAGAGTGTGAGGCAACCCACACCCTCTCCAGCCCCCTGGGGTGTAGCTGCGAACATTAGTTGGGCTGCTGCTTTCGATTTTTACCTTGTTATAATTACTGTTTTCCCCGCGGCAGCCCTGTCTTTTACTGGGTCCTCTACTTAATTTGCTTTTGGGTTTCTTTCATGACTTTACCCCCCACTTCCTCCTTCCTGGTTGGCCTTCTCCCCTGAGCAATTGGTTATCCCATGCTTTCCTTTATGCAGAATTCTCAGCCTCTACATATCGACACCGGAGCCACATCTTGGCTGTGTGGGGCCTCCCTTGTGGCCTGAAATTCTCCCCAGTACCCCTGTTTCTACCCACTAGGTGCCAACCATAGCCTTCCAGCTCGGTCACCTCAAAATACTTCAAGACATTGCCATATGTCCCCTGTGGCATACAATTCACCTCATTTCCCAATGAGAAATGCTACTCCGGTGACGTGTCTGGAGAGATCTTCACACGCTTGCCTTACCCTGTCTCAAGGGAGTCCTTGCTTCATTTGTCTCTGAAACACAACAGGAACTTGAGGGCGTTTTACCCTCGATTGTTCCTGTAATTTATTTTTCCTTAAACCTAGAATATGCTGCTCTTGTTTTGTGCAGAATTTGCTCAGACGAACTGAGGTTTCTTACTGTCTTTCCACTCTATCACAATTTGCACCTGGAAGCATTTTCCTTCTGTTTGCAATACACTCTTTGGATCTTTAGCTGATGAAGTTCTTCTGATGTCACATGCTCTCACCTGAGCATGTTGAGGATTATTTTTTTGTGTGTTCTACGTGTTCTGAAACTTTCTTTGCAGGAGATGGGTTCTAGGTAGACAAGGGTTTGGGTGCCCCGTAAAGGTGTGCTGTCACTTTTTGGCTTCTACTGCTGAGAGATCATCCATAAATTTACTTCTTCTTCCCCTGAGGGTGATCTCCTGAGTCAGATGCCTGGCAATGTCACTCGGATGAAATTTCTTCTTGGTCCAGCTCGGGATTTGGTGGGGTTTCTGAGTGTATAGGCTGGTGTTCACCAGCCACTGCCTTTTCAGATGTTCAATTCTGCTTTTGCGTCATCCTTTCTCAGTCTCCTTCTGAGGCTGATTAGGGGTGCACCAGGCCACCCCACTCTCTCCTCCATCTCTCTCATATCTCAACGTCTCTTCTTTCCCATCCTCACATGAGTGACTTTGCCCTGTGCTTTCATAACAGCTTCAGATCTGCCCTTCCCGGGATGGTTACTGACAAAGCCACATGCCAAGGGATGGGAGTCGAAATGTGCATTCCCTGGCATTAGTATTGCTGAAGTATTTTTTGAAGTAGGTGAAATTTTTATTGACAAATTTAATATTGTTTTTTACATCATTTTGTACATTTTTTTTGCCATCTCAATTGTAATCCCCGCAGGTTTCCCATCACCAAGTCATCCGTGTGCCATCACCATAGTCCTGTGCACTTCTCTCCCCAACCCCCCCATTTTTGATCCCATTCCCCACTCCACCCCCACAAAAATCACAAAATGCAAAATGTCTCTGGTATATGGCTGTTCATTATTCTTGTTTATTTTCTTGCCTGGTCCATTATACTCCTGCTATGAGTGAAACCATCTGGTATTTTTCTTTCTCTCTCTGGCTTATCTCACTCAGCATGATCTTTTCCAGCTCCATCCAAGTTGCTGCAAAAGACATGTGTTTCTCTTTTTGGTTGCTGAGTAATAGTCCATGGTATATATGTACCACATCTTTTTTATCCAGTCATCTACTTTTGGGCATTTGGGCTGCTTCCATGGTTTTCCAATTGTAAATAAAGCAAGTATTGCTGCACTTTTTAAAACAAAGATTTTTATTTATTGATGCATACAGAACTGGGGTACAGGCCAAAGGTATGGGGTTCAGAGGATTCACTAGAGACAGAGTGGGGAGCAGAACAGGCAAATTGGCTGAAATGCACTGCTGAGGGGAGCAGCGGGGAGACAGGAGAGGGCTGCTGTGCCGTGTGGGTCACTCCCTAGATGGGGATCGAACTCATGCTGCAGTGGCCGCTGCTGGTGGCTTCATAGTGCCGAGACTGACCCCTTGCGCCCCAAGGAGGCCCTGCATTGTTGAACTCTTATGGGACAGGTGCCTCTTGCTACCATCACCTAGAGACAGGTGCAGGTTACATCACAAGAAGCGAGAGAAAGGGAAGTGAGGTGGGTGTCTGTGCAGAAGACTTGTTTTCACAATCAGGTCAACCCCCACCGGTGGTGGTGGAGTGTAGAATGGGACAAGCAGACTGCGCTTCTCCAGAGGCAGAATCCTGGGTTGCTGTGTGGCCTCTGGCTTCACCCTAATGACACAAAGTTTGGGCCTCCCCAACCCCCCACAGGATGGAGAGCAGCTTTTGACCCAAGGCGGCCTATGCCTTTCTCTTCATTCTTGTGCTTCTCCCCGTCTGTCTTTCTGGGCTTGGAGGCCTTCAGCCCCCCAGCTAGCCAAGGTCAGGCTCCCACCAGCCCCCCCAGTGGCCCCCCAGAGGTGGGAGGTTCTGGCTCTGTCAGGACGCAGAGCCCTGGCGTGTGAGGCAATCCACACCCTCTCTGCGCCGTCGGGGATGTAGCTGCAGTTAGACTTGGCTGCCATAAGCAAGGAGCTTCCCCACATCAAACGGGGAGCTCACAGCATCTCAGGCAGGGTGTGGGGAGACAGGAACAATTCTGGGGTGGATGTCACGGCTGCTGGGGCTGCGGCCACCTGACGGGACATGTGTCTGCTGTCCCCCACTTCTAAGTCAAAGCTGGGTTGGGGCATCCTGACTCCCTAGAATGGGAGAGGGGCTGAGACCCGCAAGGTGGACGTTCCTGACATGGAAGGGGATTCAGGCGGAGGCTGCGGGCATATGCCGAGTGTCCGTGGCAGGGGTGGTGAGCGGGGTGCTCCTTTGCGCTCTCCAAAACCAGAGGCAGCCACAGCCTGCAGCACTGGGCTGCCTCCTGCAGGGAGGAGAGCTCACTGGGGATGAGAATCAAATTTCTCAGAAGAGGAGACCGGGCCAGAGTAAACCTTTGGAGGGAGGGGAACCGAGAACTGAGAACAAGGTGAGGACTTGCCCAGGGTGTGGTGGGCAGCAAGTAAAGAGCCGAACTGCACGGGGAGCGCAGGAAGGACAGCCTCTCCTCTCCCGTTGCCGTACCATCCGAGACAGCGACTTCCTGCAGAAAGCTGCTTTTTCCTTTTGGGCGAATGTCAGTGAATCCTGCTCAGGTGAGAGGAGAGGAGAGGGTGAGAGGGGCGTTTGTTACGGACTGAGTTGGCGGGGTGCGAGTGTATGCGCCATCGCCATCACCGCTGGTAAGAAGGGCCCGTTGATGGAGTCGCTACTGTGTGCTGCACCAAAGTGGGCATTTTAGGGGGGTCGCCCTGGGCCCTCGGGCTCTTTACCCAAGTACAGAGGGGGAAACCCAGGTCACAGGGGAACTCGCAGTGAGGGGCCCTGGACTCCTTTGAAGCTTCCTCACACTGCGCTCAGAATGCCTGTCCTGCTGCCCCCCCTGCCCCCCGCACTGGCAGCTGCCCCAAGGACACAGCTTTCAGACAGCAATTGTGGGGAGATCCCTGACAGCACACGCGACTGAACAGTTAGGCCTCCATGCCATGGACCTTAACCAACAGTGGCTGAGGGGCACCCCCCAGAGAAGCCGGCACCCCCCAGAGCAGCCGGCACCCCCCCAGAGCAGCCGGCACCCCCCCAGAGAAGCCGGCACCCCCCCAGAGAAGCCGGCACCCCCCCAGAGAAGCCGGCACCCCCCCAGAGAAGCCGGCACCCCCCCAGAGCAGCCGGCACCCCCCCAGAGAAGCCGGCACCCCCCCAGAGCAGCCGGCACCCCCCCAGAGAAGCCGGCACCCCCCAGAGCAGCTGGCAGCCCCCCAGAGAAGCCAGCACCCCTCCAGAGCAGCCGGCACCCCCCAGAGTAGCCGGTACCCCCCCAGAGAAGCCGGCACCCCCCAGAGCAGCCGGCACCCCCCCAGAGCAGCCGGCACTCCCCCAGAGTAGCTGGCAACCCCTCAGAGCAGCTGGAAGCCCCCCAGAGCAGCTGGCACCCCCCTAGAGTAGCCAGCACCTCCTAGAGTAGCCGGCCCCCCCCAGAGCAGCCGGCACCCCCCAGAGCAGCCGGACAGCCAAGTAGAGTAAATATCCAAGGGGTCCCGGCCTTGGGTTTGAGACCCACATTAGGGGCTGGCTGGGTTTGGGGTGCTCATCGTCTGAAGATAGAAAACACATCCACACGTGACTCGCAGTCCCATGCCACAGCGCCCTGAGGTCCAGGGTGGGCACCCGGGTGTGTGGCCACGGCCTCGTGCGTGGTGGAAACCCCCCGCTGGCTAGAGCCCACCCACCCGGGTCTGCCGCTGTCCCCCGTCCCTCCTTGCCTCTGGGCACGGGGCCAGCTCTGGCTGCCCGACACGGAGCCCCACGCGCCCACGGCATCGCCCCCGGAGGGCGGCGGGTGGGGACATGTGATGTGTCACAGAGGCCTCACTGAATACCTGGCAGCGACAAATGCGTGTCACTGGCCACAGATAAAGAGGATAAACTTTACTCGAGTACCAGTGCTGTATAAAAGATACGGCAGAAAAATGAACCCCGCTGCGGTGTCCCCGGAAGCCAGAGAGCCGCCCCAGACGGCCACCGCGGCCGCTGAGCCCGGGCTGTGCTGCGACTCGGCCGCTGGGGAGGACGTCGCTCCTCCCGCCGTAAACACTGCCGTTTCTTGCAGCTAAGACTTGCTCCTTAGATCCGCGCGTCTCAGAGGCCGAGTTTGCACCCTCAGTTTTCCACCATGAAGGCCTTCACAAAGCAGCAGCTTCCAAGGGGCCGTGTTTTGCCAAGTGTCTTCACAAGCTGGCTCTTTGGCTCTTTCCGTGTGCCCCGGCGTCTGAGCCTCCGTGTGGGGCTCAGGTGGTCTCAGTGCACTTGTGGGTGTGGTCACCGTCAGAGGCCGTCGTAAGGAGGGGACTGCTCTGCACCCTGGGAGCCTCCGCCTCGGACCCCAGCTTGCAGGACCCCTGCCTGGACGGCGCCTCCTGACTGCCACCTTTGCCAGGGTTCTGCCTGCCGCTCTCAGAGATCTCTGTAATCATACTCAGCTTGTCAAAAACTTCATGTTCGTCAGGGAACGGGAAGGAGAAAATCAGAAGTGGGCTGTGGTGAGGGTGGCCGAGAAACTGCAAGGGAAACAAAAAAGGTAGTTAATTCTCAATTTTTACCATTTCTTTTTCTGGCTTCATAAAGATCTTGCGGAGGATTCTTGGGTAGAAAGCACTGTTTTGAAAAGTGCAACAGAACAGGATGATAGCTCCTCGAAAAATGAAAAGCAACATGTGACCCGGCAACTCCATTTCTGGGTGTATCTGCAGGGGGACGGGCGGCAGGGACTGAGGGAGATAATGGCACTGTTCACACCTGGTGTCCAGCCACAGAAGTGGAAGGGGAAGCCCTGGAGGGCATGCCAGTGGCCAAGTGGATGAACAAGTGTGGTGTATAGTCGGCTGTCTCTTAACGACATTTTGGTCAAAGACGGACTTTGAACGTGATGTGGTCACCACAGGCAGCACCATAAGGTCTTGGTGTACAGGAGGCCACACCACCCAGGCTTGTGGAATTATACTTGGCGACATCTGCACAATGAAGCTGTCTAATGATGCATTTCTCAGAATACATCCCTGTCGTTAAGTGATGCCTGTCTGGATACATACAGTGGAATACTATTCAGCCATGAAAAATAGTGAAGTACCCAACTCTTAGAACAATGAAGGTGCAAATGTTTCCTGAAATATCTGCTATATTTGATAGTTTCTATTTTTATCCTCCTAGGTCTACCAGTGCTCTTAATCTTCAGGCTAAAAAGCAGATGTATGCTTTAAAGTTTCGCATTTTTAAACTCTCTCTTCCAGCTGTTTTATTCCTAAGTTCCACCTCTAATTGTTTAGTCTGCTCTCCACCTAATGTGATCTCCATACAGGCCTTTGACAATGATTAATCTAAGCCTTCAGTAGCTACACTGCCTACTGGTATCAGAGCCACCCCCCCAATCTTGAGCAGCTGACGGATGAAAGGGAGGGGAAGGGCAAGAGGAATTATGTCCAGATATCTGTTGGAAAGAGAAGGAGCTGGGGAAGGAGGAATGTCTCCAGATCAGAGGATTTTTAGGAAGACACTAGAAGCTATTCTTGGTTTTCTCCTGGGGAACAGAAATCGCAAGAAAGTAAACCTTAGGCTGGTTTCCTGGCTGGACACATGCAGAAGCTGGTTTCTGGCTCACTATGTCAGTGCTGGGTAAACCTCCCTATTGCTTTTTCAACTAAAAGTCACCACCCCCAGCGATCCTCCACACACTCAAAAACCTCCTTGGGCCATATTCACAGATTCTCTGTGATGTGTCAAGCTGGGTAACTCCGATGTGAGGACCTGATCTACTCAGTTTCCCTCCCCTGCTCTTGCTTCTCAGTGATGGCAGGACCGACCCTACAGAGAAGTCTGCCAAGACTCTGGGTAACTGAGCTCATCCCCAAAGGCCTCTTTCCTGTGTCCTCTCTGACTCTGGCCTGGAAGGAATCACATTTGCCTATCTGTCCTTCCCTGACGCTTTCTTAGGGCCAAGCCAGATGCAAAGATAGCAGGTGAACAACGTTAGAAACTTCTAGCCTCTGAAAGCCTTGCTGCCGGTCATGTGTCCCACCGCCTAGCCACGCAGCCCGGGCCCCCCTCAAGGGGGTGGGAGGTGGAGGTGGGGTTGCGGGGGCTGCCTTGCTTTCAGCAACACTGGCACTAAGATGGCTCCCAGCCGAGTCCCTTTCCAGGACCCGGAGGAGGGAGCTGCCCCGGCCAAGGGCCCACGCCTTCCCAGGGGCAGCGAAGGGCAGCCTGCACCGACCTCAGTGAGACGCACCCCGTGAAGGTGCAGAGACGGCCAGGGGTCCCATGCGGCAGGACACGCAGGGGCAGCCTCTCCTACGTAAAGGCCCAAGGACGGATTCTCACCCTTCCCTCCAAGGAAGCACGCCCACGCCTGGAACGCGGGGCCACGGCGTATCCCACGCACAAGGTGGGGTGGGCACGGCCGGCCACGTGCCTGCTGGCTGATGCTGGCGTGCGAGGCCGGCACGGTCTCCTGGCAGCGCACTCACTGAGCCCGTGGGCAGGAGGGCTGCGCAGGCCTGGCGGGCCCTTCCTTGCAGAGCCTGTGGCGGGCAAAGCGGGTGGAGCTTGTGACAAGCCCTGAGGGGCCTCGCTGCAGGGCGTCATGCGGGGCTGGCCCGCTGTGCGCTGCAGGGAGTTACAGCTCCTGGAGCCCTGAGGGGGCCAGGCTGAGGCGCAAGGGGCGGTCACCCCGGAGTGGCGACCCTGAGGCCTGGCCCTCCTTCTTGGTGGGACCACAGGGCGCGGGCAGGGCCCCACGCCTCCCCCGCCCACGGCGTGTGTCACACCACCTCGGGCGGCCGCCCCGGCTCACATTCTCAGCAACTGCCCGCGCTCTCGGTCCCGTCCACTCTAGAGTCTGCACCCAGGCGGATTCTGTCTCCATGCAGAGACTCCAGAGCTGTCTCGCGGTGGTAAGACTGTCCTTCTCCCAGGACGTCCTCAACAGAGGCCCTGCTGCATCTCTCTTGGGGAGCCATGCCCAACCTAGTGAATTCGGGGTTCACAGGCCTCATGCATCTCTCCGGGCTGCTTTCCAGAGCCCAGTGGGATTGACCGAGCCACGGAAGTGAGTGAGTCACAGCCCAGTCTCCCCGCCTCCCCTCACCCCCCGCCCCCCTGCTCTTCCTCCCTCAGCGAGATTGCTCCCCAGGGCTTCCCCCGGCAGCTGTCTGAAGATGAAGCTCTGTGTCAGCATCATTTCCTGGCAAGTGAGACCAAAGACAAGCTTCTTTCAGGGCTGGGCATATTTTCTCCTTGAAGTGTTCGTACACACCCAGAGTCGCATTTCTTAGGGCCTCTTGGGTCCTTTGGTCTCTCTCCAGGTACTTCCTTTTTTTTTCTAAACATTTTGAAAGTCTAGGACACACATCGCTGACTTCAGATACCCCCAGACTGTAAGCGCTGAACCCCTCATTCTTTCACCTGGCTGTTCCCCGCGACAGCCCGTCCTCTCGTTCTCATCTGGACCCTCTGAGCTCGGCCTCTTCTCTACCTGTCCCAGACCGTCTCTTCTGTTCTCTGGAGACCTCCGGCCAGGAGGTTGGGGAGAGGGCTGCTGGGCCAGACCCCGCGGGCCGAGGTACCAGGCCGCAGCTCTGAGGGAGCGGCCGGCCACTCGGGGCTCCACAGCCCTCTCCGGCCCCCTCCCGTCACCTACCTCTTTCAGGTGCCGGGGGAGAGTGTTCTGGTGGGAGAAGGTGTACTTGATCTTCTCGTAAATGCACCACAGCATGGCGAAGCAGCCGAGAAGCAGGAGGGCCACACACACGGAGGCCGCGAGGACCACGAGGGCGATGACCCAGGAGGACACGGTGTCTGTGGGGAGACGGGCGTCACGGGCTTGTGGTGGCCTGGTGATCCCGGCACTGTGTTCACCCTCACAGCCCCACGTAACCCCCCAGCAGCGCCTCCGGTCCTCTTGGGGTCCACGGAGGGAGCTGTGAGAGGACCCAGAGGTCTCCAGGGCGGCCCCTGCCCCCACCTCTTCCCAGTCTGGGTTCTGACAGGCTTGCTGCGTGCCTCCCGGGGGCGCAGGGGTTCAGTCTCAGCACCATCAAGCTGTTGCCAGCCACTGAGGAAAGGGAGTGGCCCACGCGGCGCGCCAGACCTCTCCTGACCCGCCCGCTGCTCCCCTCAGCAGTGGACTTCAGTCCATCTGCCTGTTCTGCTCCCCACTCTGTCTCTGGGGATAGTCTGACCCCCACCTCCGCCAGCTCTTTTATGTTTAAGTGGGCCTTGCTCCCTGAGGGGCGGGCCTCCCCGGTCAGGATAACCCTCCTCTGCTTTGGAGCAGTAACAGGGGCTTGCGTGGGTCCCGATCCTGTCCTCTGTGCTAAGGCTTGCACAAGCCCTCAGCAGGGATGACCGCACTGACCCTGCTCTCAGGCAGCTGGCCCAGACGCAGCGAGAGTTAACGTGACCTCAGGAACTGTGAGGTGCGGTAAGGGCCCCGTTTGCAGGGTGGCTGGGACACAGGGCAGCTCAGGGCTGACCCCACGTCCCGTGTGGTGTCAGCGGGGAAGGACGGGCCACTGGGGTGTCCCAGGAAGGCAGGTAAAGCTCACCCGCAGGGCTGAGAGGCTTAGAAGAAAGGGGAATGGTGCCGAGGTCGGGGACGCTACTGACTCAAGCAGGATGGAATTCTGGTTCCAGGACAGCAGACTCACGGGGAACACAGTGAGAGAGCAGAAGGCCAGTCGGGGAAACAACCTAGTGGTCACAAGGGTAGGCCTGTTCCTCACTTAAAGGTGCAGACCTCCCGGGGGTGCAGGGGTTCAGTCTCAGCACCATCAAGCTTTCGCCAGCCACTGAGGCCAGGGAGTGACCACATGGTGGACAGACCTCTGCTGGCCCGCCAGCTGCTCCCCGCAGCAGTGGACTTCAGTCCATCTGCCTGTTCTGCTCCCCGCTCTGTCTCTGGGGATAGTCTCACCCCCACCCTCTCCAGTTCTTTTATGTTTAAGTAGATAAAAATAAATCTTAAGAAAGGAAATGCTGTTTATAAAGGTTCTCAGGCGAAGGGAGGAGCCCACGACGCTGCCCCAGCCACTGATCTTGGGCAACAGAGGTGAGGTGCCCAGTCGGGGCTACAGGAAAAGAAATGAGAGCCGAGAGCACCCCCCACCGAGAGGAAGGCCGTTCATCTGTGCCTCTGCAGTCTGAGAAAGCTGCCCGGACGACTGCCTGGGGGAGGAATCCTGGATCCAGGCACATAACTTGTTCATTTGCAAAGAAGGAAACTGTCCCCAAGATTTGGGAAAGTACAGGCCAACCTCAGTGCTTGAGCTTGATCCAGAAAAAACAGAAACATTCCAGAATGGACAGCGCCGTGGCTTTTTACACACCCTTGAAGATAAGAGTGGTGACAAAATAATAGTGACATTAGGACACCGAAGAAGAAGAAATCCGCGCCCAGCGGCTGCCTGGCCCTTGGGGACCGGCTCCTTCTGGGGCATCACGGGTGTTGTGGGGTGGTGGCCGCCAAGCTGTCCTCGGAATGTGACGCCTCAGAAACGTGCTGCAAAATCCAGTCCGCCAACGACACTGACCGGCACCGCTTTCCAGCGCCCCCCACAGCCCCGTCACCACAGGGCCCCTCTCCTGAGAAACAGCCCTCGACAGCTGATGCCACGCAGCGCTTGGGGTCCGCGCTGTGCACCCACATGTTCTGGCCAGTACGACAGCATGGCCCCCCAAGAGCACACTGTTCGGGGGGACTGGTCAGCGGGCAAGCTGGGAGGAAGGTGTGCCCAAGGGCGCGCCAGCTGTTTAAACAAAACTGGTGAGGACCCTGCAGTTCTCAGCAACTCAGAAGAGACAGAACAAGACTGGGCAGGCAAGTTGTTCAGGGACACACGTAGCTGAAGTGAAGCGTCGAGGCGGCTGCAACTTGCCATTTCTCAGAACCGCACGGTGACGCAGGAGACGAGGTTCCGCATTCTGTCTCATTCTCCCTTGTGTTCCCGCCGCCCCCGGCCCCACACTCCTGCCTTGTTTCAGGAAGGCCTGGACACGGCATGGCCAGGACCGGGCCTCCCGCACGTCCCCTCCTCGGCTGAGCTGCCGACGCCTTTGACTCAACAGGTGCTCTCTGCGCGCACAGGGAGCCTCACCGGCACCGCGCCCGGTGTTAGGGCCTCCCGGGGCGGCACCCACCCTCCTTTCAGCCTCGCTGTCCCCGTTTTCTTCCCCTTTCTTGTAAAGAAACAAGTCCATGCCACCTTTAGGCGGCCCCTGCTGAGGCGACCGCCCTGTCACAGGCCCTGGTCTGGCGGGCAGGGAGCCGGGCGTCTGCACCCCCTGAGAGGCAACACAACCTGTGGCTGTTCCGAGGCAGAAATGCAAAAGTTTGCTGCTTGTGGCTGACGCAGCCTTGCAGCCCCACTCGTGACCCGGAGCGGGACCAAGGGCTCCTCACGGCACACCCAGCCCTGCTCGTCCGCGCCGGAGCTCAGAAACCAGGGGAGAGGTTAACCCCGTTTGCGCTCTGTGCCTAGATAGCGCGATGTATCGCGAGGTCAAAGTAACTGAGTGCCAGAAGCCACCCTACGCCCCCCTTCCCGCCTCGTGCCACAGCTCACGGTTCCTTTCTGTCAGCCAAACTCAGACCTGTGATGGCGGAGCCAATCTGTCAGAACACATCCGGGGTTCGAGTCCTCACTTGGGCGAGCTTAGAAACCCTTTATCTAACGATCGCTGACACTTTTATCCCGGGTGACACCGAGGAAAAGTGAAAGCGTTTCAAGCGTTCCCTTCTCATTGTGTACCCGACAGAACTGGAAACATGGAACCAGGGACAGCGGCTTCCAGGGCTTGTGACGGGCTTGACCTCTGCTGGGTGGTGTGGGCAGCGCCGATGAGACTTGCTTTGGGCTGCTGAGAGGACTGAGTGGGCGCAGTGGGTGGGCCAAGGAGGCCGGCCCTGGCTTCTGGGACACCGGGGGCTTCCTTGTGTGTCTAAGAGGGAACGGCTGCCTGGGAAGGGCGAGGGTTCCCACCCAGGAGGCAGGGGAGCGGCCGGAGTCTGGCTGGGTCTGGTGTGTACACAGCGGCCCAGCCCTGCTCTCAGCGGGAGGGGTCTGGGAGGATGGCAGGTGCCAGAGGGGGTGAGGTCAGGGCTCACCGAAGTGCGCTGTCTGTTCACACACAGGCTCGCTCCACTCTCCGGCTTTGTTCCGATCGGGAATGATCACTTGAGCCTGCACACAGTAGGTTGTCTGCGGCTCAAGATCTCGGAGGGTCTCGGAGTCGTGCTGACAGTGGACTGAAGCCTGGGGAAGAAGATGAAAATGAGGCAGTGCTCCACAGTGGAGGGCGACACCCTCACGCCCCGGCCCCCCGCAGTTACAATCCTTACTTTAGGCTCAAAAGAGGAAGCTGAACGAAGCAGGGGCTTCTCCCCATTCATTTTGGGGGACTCTGAGACCATTTTAAGGGGCAGGCAAGGATGGTGGGCCTGCCCAGCCACCTCAGTTCTTGAATTCTCCAGTTTAGATACCATCAAACGCACCCCACTTTCTCTCAACAAGGTAGACCAACTATAGGCAGCCCCCCAGCAGTCCCCAATTCCTACACTGATTCCTTAGTACCTTAGAAAGTGGCCTTAGTTGGACATGGGGTCTTTCTAGAGGATTCAGACTCAAAGGTGGTGGGCAGGGAGAGTTCTAACCCAATGCGCTCGAAGGGGGATTTTGGACACAGGCAGCCAGGGAAATGAGGGAAGAGACCAGGGTGATGGTCCTCCAAGTTAAAGAACCAAAGGCTGCCACAAAGCCGCAGAAGTGAGGAGCGAGGCCTGTGGACACCTGGGACCTCCCTCTCCAGAACCTGGGGATTCACTTCGGAGAGGCTGCCCAGTGGGGGCCTTGTCTCAGCAGCCCTGCTGGGGCCACGGTGTCATCAGTGAGTGCAGCGTGAGTTTCTTTTTAAGCCAGAGCCAGTGTGTGAACAGCTGCCCTGGGCTTTCCCTGAGCGACCTCTCTGCCAGTGGCTAGCTGGCCTCCTCCCACAGCCCCGGCCTCGAGGGGACAGGCCACAGCCTGTCTGGGGCGCTCCGCCACACATCTTGTTAACTTGAATATGAGCTATCACAGTAATCACATATTCTGAATTTGAGAAGCCAAACGAGTTTCTGGCAAAATAAGAGGAATTAAAAGAGCGAACACTCCCCATTTCTCTCATGGTTACAACTTCCTTATTCAAGGGCCTGTCACATGAGCTGTGAGTGGAATGCGAGCAGACCTTCTTACTTCAGTAACTGGTTATTTGCTTTTGGGCTCAGGGTTGTATGTATCTTGGGTACATTTCGTTTTATATGAGAAGCTAAGCTTGTTGAGAGTAAACCTGATTATACTAAATGAAAACAGGAAGAGGCTGGTATAAGTCCTAACAGGAAAAACCCTCCCAAAGTCCTGGCTTTCATCTCTACAACTCCAATATCTCAAACCTTGCTCTTCTTGGGAGAATGGAGCCAATGCTCTTTTTTCAAAGACCAAATGCAGAGGCTGACCAGGGATGCCAGGCGGGGAGGGTGGGCGAGGGGCCAGCACCAGTGCCCTCTGATGAGTTTTCCTAGCCTTTGTTTACTTCCGGGCAACCTCTAGTTTTATTTTCACTTTTTCCCATCAGGAAGAAATGGGATTTTCAAAAGACTTGTATGCTGCTAGTTTAGGGACCTGCCAGGGCAGCCTTTCAGCAATGTCTGCATTTCAAAAAGGAGGCCTCTGTCTGAGCCCGCAGGCGGCTGGAGCAGAACGCCACAGATGGCTCAGCATCTGGAGGCTGGTGAGGCCAAAGCCGAGCAGCTTCGGTAGCTCTGGTGTCTGGTGCGAGACCTCTCTGGGGTCTCATCCCTGAGGGCGCTAATCCCACTCATGGGGGCTCCACCCTGATGACCTGATCAAGTCCAGTGGCCCCCTACCACCTCCTCAGACCATGTCCTGGGAGTTAGGCTTCCACATACAAGTGTCGGGGCCACAGACACTGTGTGTAGCTCACTGACTGGCAAAGGGGACCACAGGAGGGAGGCACAAGGGAGGAAAGAACCAGGGTGCAGACAGCCTTTCTGGCCCTTGGCATGGACACCTGAGGCTTCCACAGAACAGGCTGAACAGAGAGGACAAAGGTGCAGCCAGATGCCTGTACTGTGGACATGCTCTAGCTAGGAACCTGAAGATAAGCTGGGTTTCACATTTCAGGTCTGGTGTAGGAGGTGCCCAGGCATCCGCTGCTGACACCCCCAGAGGGCCAGTCCTGTGGCCTTTGTGGAGACACCTGACTTAGATTCATGGCCGTGAAGCTCACTATTTGTATTGTGCTTTATGTTTACATTTCCTGGGTTCTCACTGTAAGCAAAATTATACATTCTGTGAAGACAGCAGATCTCCTTCCTCACTTAACGGAACATTTTTGGGGGAAAGTTAATTTGCAATTGGGAGGCTATGCACAATGTCTGTATATAAATTTAGTTCATCATCTCTAAGACAATATACATGAGTGACCCTTTCTTTTTAAAGGCTTGAGAATTAAGGGATGAAATCCATGTTTAGGACAGAGGAGATAATGTAAACAAGTGACAAACCATAAACGTCAGTCAGTTTAGGGCCAGCAGTGGCCTTCAGTTTACATGAGCTAAGTAGAAGAATAAACTTGACCAAGATCGAAGGAAAACAGCGTTAACGTGTCTACAGGCGGTGGAGGGAAACTCACGTATAGACACACGTGCTGTTTCGGCAGGGGATGAGTCCGCTGTCTTCCTCAGGCCTGTGTGCTCCCTAACAGTCCTTGCGCTGTCACTATGTGGGTTACTACCCGCGATCCACGGCTGAAGTGGTTAGTGCGCCTGCTTTGCAGACACGAGAAGCTGAGGCCAGGAGGTGACAGTCATGCAGTGGCTGCGGTGGCTTTCCAGCTCTGCCTTCCAGCGCCTGGCTCATGTGTTTAGAGGAAGTGGCCCCCTGAGAAGGAGTTGGGGAATGGGGAAAATGGGACCAGACAGGTACAGTGTGACACTCCACCCAGTGTCCACAGGGAGGTGTTGCCTGTGGATTTCACAACTGTGGTTTGTGGACATGGCAGTCCATGATGGCTCGATTCAGCTGAGTCCTGGTTCCCCAGCCAGCTGCTGAGTCAGTTCTGCTTCTCCTGTGACTTCCCCTCAGGGAAGGCAACCCCAGCCGAAAGGTCTGTGCCACACAGCTTCGGGAGGCGAGGAAAGTGTGAGTCAGAGACACCAGGCTTCCCCAGACTGGGGAGCTGGAGATGCACCGAGAGCAGGCCTTGAGTCCCCTGGACTGCCACCTCGGCAGCCCGACTAGGGGCCTCCTGGATATCTTTCTGTGGTCACGGCCTCAGGCCAGCACTAAGCAAGGAGCAGGGAGCCCACATCTCACATGCATGTGATTCGCCAAGCTTACCTTTTCATCAGAGCCGTTTTTCCAGTATTGTACATTGTAAGTCCATGAATTATAAATATTCTTCATGGTCCATGTTTCAGGTTCATTATCAATTTTGGGGGACAGGAAGTGTACGTGCAAAGAATTAACAAGTGCATCTACTTGTATCCCAGGAGGTCCAACATTGGCTATGTATGAGAACAAAGCAAACGACAATCAAAAATCACATTTTAGATATGTGACATTTGTTTACCTAACTGCACAAACAAATGTGCACTTGAGTGTTCTGCTCTTACATCCACCATTGCTATGGCTATGACTGACTAACACGGCCAGGACGGTAGCTGGGGGGTTTGTTTCTTAAAACCCGATAACCTTTGCCTTTGTTCATTAGGTTTCGTCCATTTATATTTATTGTGATTTCTGATCTATCTGGGATCAGTCCAACTATGTTACTTGTGTAATTTTTCGGGGAGGGGCTTGTCTCGCTCCTTTCTTTCTGTTGGATGAATTTATTTCCTTTCTGGATTAGAAGCAATAGAGCAGCTTCTTCTTCTTCTTCTTTTTTTTAATGTTTAACATATATGATTAACCATACATTTTTTCCAGCAAGGTGTGAACTTGTTCTTGTTCTTTGACTAGAAATTTACGTCACTTGCCCCTTCCTTCATGTGGGTATGGTTCGGTGCCAGCTAGCCCGAGAGACTGCATCTTAACACTAGGTAAACAACAGCTCCCACCACTTCCTGCCTGCAACTTTGCTTCCTTAAGAACCAAGTCATCATCTCTCATAACATAGGCAATCTATTCTTCTTCCTCATTAGGACGTGGGCTTCACAGGGGAGGGGTTCTGTTATACTTTCAGGCATGAAGGTTTGCTTGGCACAGAGCAGGCACTTGCTAATGAGCACAGAAAGAATTCTAACTGGCTTGGAGCAACCATGCTATTTGAGCTGTATCCTGTATTCTTTCCTGGGCACTGCTTTTCTTTTGGGGGGGTGGGGTGGGGAGGGTGTCACTAGAATGCTCTGGCAATCTACCCCATTTTGAATCTGCTGGTGGCTAAAGACTTGATAAGGAAGCTTATTAGCTATCTTTCCAAAGCAAATATAAGTTCCACATGACATCTGGAAGCACTTTCTTATCACTCAAAGAGACAAACTTCAGGAGGCAAATATCCAAAGTGCAGACTAGTTGTGGGAGAACTCTCTGTGGCATCTGTCAAATAGCCACTGTAGGGGATGGCAGCTCAGAGCAGGGAACCAGGGGCCTGGGTCTGAACCCTTGCTTGGTGATTAGCTGTGGCCTGCAGTGAGCTTCCAGCAGACAAACTGCTTGACCCTGTTGGATCTCTTTCCATACATGGGCTGGAAACAGGTGGGGAGGAGGAGCTGGCAGCTAGTGGGCAGCCACAGGAGCAGACCTGTACTATGCTTACAGACTTGACAATTGCAGTGTTTTAAGATTTATTTATTCATGCATACAGAACTGGGGTACAGGTCCGAAGTGCAGGGGCAGTGAGAGGATTCACCAGAGACAGAGTGGGGAGCAGAACAGTCAGGCTGACAAAGTCCACTGCTGAGGGGAGCCGCGGGCGGGTCAGGAGAGGTCTGCGCTCCGGGAAGGGGATCAAGCTCGCACTGAGTGGCTGCAGTGAGCTTGCAGTGCTGCGTCCTGACCCGTTGTGCCCTGGGAGTGGCCTATTGTTGTGTTTCCTAATGCTTTTTTGTTATTGTCATAAAGATACTTTTAGAAAAGAAAACGTTGATAATTTCTGATTCCAGAAATCAGTGAGAGTTAAAATTTTGTTGTTGTTGTTCCAAGCCTGAGAGACAGAATCAGGGAAAGGCAAAAGGGTAGCATTTCTAGCTGCACTCCTGACCTGGGAGGGTGAACCTGGGAGCTGCGGGGATCCCGAGCAGGGGAGGAGGTAAGGACGATCCCAATGCCACAGCTATTCCTTGGAGGTGCACTTGAGCTTCGTTAGTGAAGCCTTTGCCCTCTCGATGGCTCTCTGGCTGCTTAAATCACTTTCAGTTCCTGGTCCCCACTTGTGTCTAGCTCATGACCTAGGGCGGGTGCCCACGGGCCTCCAGGTCTAAGCTGGCAATGTTCTTTTGCATGCTTAACCACCCAGCCTGCCCGATGCACCTGCCATCAGCTGTCTCCAATCCGCAGTCCTGCGTTCTGGGCAAGCTGGCTGTCTGCATCTGGTCTGTCTCCATGCTTGCCTAGAAAAACCTTCTGCCTACTGAGTCAGCTTTTTTTGAATCATAATTCCAAACTGACTTCCTCCCAGAAAATGCATACATGAACCCTTCCGGTGTCTCTCATCAACAGCACTGACCTCAAAGCATGAACATCAAGGGTAGATTATTTTCATGCCCATTCTTTCTGGTCTCTCCCCAACTTCTGAAAGTCACAGCTCTCTTTACTATATTTTCTAGTTACGCCTTAGTGCAATCCTCAAGTGTCTTGCATAAGACCTTGCAAAATTACTGCTGACACACTCAGGGCAAGCACCGAGGCAAGAGGGCAACAGAATAAGGAAGAGGAAACCAAGTAGCTTACTTTCATCCACGGGCGAAAAGGTGATGTTCACCCAGTCGGAGTGATCACCTGTGAGCTCAGTCCGCACTCTTAAGGTGTGGTTACCATACTTGGAGAGATCTGAGAAATCGCACTCCGTCGTGTTCGTGTTCTTGCACTTGTCTTGGAACAGCCTGGAATAACTACAACAGGGAAAGGTTAAATTCATGAGGTCCAACTCCTTCATTGTGCCCTGGTACCCAAGGAAAATGAGAGAAAGGCAATTTGGGGTAAAATCTGTGAAATACAAACAGGTGTCTGTCTTCATAACAAGCCTGAGGTTTACACATCCTAATAAGTACATGCTCCCCCCAGCACCCCTCTCCGCAAAAGGTGCTGAGTATTTAGCACATTTGAGCAGGAAGCCTTCCTTTCTTGACTGTGTACTTCTGAGAGCAGGGGGATATGGCTTGTGAAGTGCGATATTTGCGGATGAACTAAAATATGCCGCCTTCATATCATATCTCAGCAATGACATTGGTTGCAACTAAAAACAATTCACTGATCTCTTGTGTCCTGTTACCAGCCCCTGAAGGGGGCAGGAACCGAAAGGGGAAAATATCTGACATTTGGGAACATCTACCACATGTAAGGGAGTTGAGTTCAGTAGGCCTCAGGGGGGGTCACTGGCCTAAGAAAGTGCAGAATCAACTCCTGCTAAAAATGAGGATTCTGTCCTCACTTCCCATATAAGGCCCAGTCTTCGCACCAAAGCCAATTTAGCTGCCCTTACAGGTGACAATGAAGGTGGCAGTGACAAAAATAAGAACAGCCAAACCTTAGCACCAGGCAGGGTGCTAAGGCGTACTTTGCATTTTTGCAACCTGAGGAGGGCAGAACCAAATTACTCCTATTTTCTAGATGAGGCAGAGGGCAAGAAGCCCAAGGCCTTGGCCAGCATCACTGACTTGGGCTGACCTCGGAGCCGGCAGCTCTAGGTACCCGGTCTCACTGCTTCCTTAGGGTGCCCAGCAAAATCTCTGGACCAAAGGTGGTCGAGATAACTGGGCTCATTCTCTTTTACCATCTGCTTTTCACTTAATGTACCACAGTGTTTCACTGTTCAATCCATCCTTCCTGGCACCCCAACATTTGGAAAATGCAGAGGTGTGTTAATGAATGTGGGTTTTTTCACGTGACCTGTTTTCTTCACTTAAACTCGGGCATCCATTGCCTGGAACACAGAATACTTAGAAAGTTGCTTTGTATTTACCTCTCTCTCACTAGGACATGATGACTGGATTTGCAATACTATTCTCCTCATTACAATTAGCTTACATCTAATTGTTCTAGATGTTCCATGTAAAATTCCCCAATCCATCCCCAAAAGTGCCTCTTCTCTGGCTGCCCCTGCTCGGCGCAGACACAGAAGAGAATTTATGCTACATAACTGCACAGGCTAAATTCTAAATACCCTCTGCAGACACTGAAGGGAACTCAGACTTTTCAGGGTCAAATGTCTGCCCCAGAGACACAGCCAGCACATGGCCTGGGAATTTCCCAGCATACGCCATGCTCCGTTTACTCTCCCATGCCGAGGGGACCTGCACCCCAGCCTCAAGCTCTGTGACAGGCAGGAACTTGCGAGATGATCCAGGAAAGCCCTCCCGACCCAGTAAACAAAAGAGCAAAGCCACCTGCAGAAACTGGCAGTCTGAGGATCAGAGTGTGTCATCTGTTGCCTGCGGGTAAACCAGCTTTTTCAGTGCCTACAAATGACCAAGATAAGGAATATTCAAGCCCTGATACCCAGACCTGCATCCCTGCGACATCTCCAGAAAGGAAGAAGCTAAGACCCAGCATTTGTCTTCCTCTGTGCAAAGCACGTTTGATTCGTGTCTAAGTCCAATAATTAAGATCAGAAGCCAGCTTGTCCAGGATGGTGATTTTTTTGTGTGTCAAGAGACTCAACGTTCCTATTCTAACTCAAGTTTATGATGTTCGAATAAAGCTCCTACAACCTCATCTCTGCTTCCCTGGTTCAAGTCCTCACCTTGACCATCTAGTATATCTGTTGTCTAAGTATCACTGACCGTTCTATTGACGTTAACCCAGGGAAGTCACTGGAGACTCTCATCTAAAAGAATAATACCCCCAAACTATCCCCCCGCACAATGGGCAAGAGGTGATGAACAGAGTAAGAAGTAAGGGAGAGAGAAGGAGAGCAAGGAAAGTTACGACATCTGACAGTGAGATCGCTAGAGCTCTTAGGGCTGAAGGCAGAAAGCACAGGGGCGCAATGACAAAGTCCATTAAGTGCGGGAAAATATACCACAGGAAACACCAGTCACAGAATGACCCACCTGAAGTCAAAACTGGAATATGAACTGTGATTAAACAATTGTGTCACTGTTAAATTTCCCAATCTTGCTTCAATGTACTAGTGTTGTAAAAGATCATTCCTGCTCTTCTGAAACACATAGTGAAATATTAAGGGGCAAAAGCCATGAGATATGGTGGGGAGGGACAATACATGGTTGTAAAATTGGTGAACCTGGATACAGCTGTTGACTTAAAAATTCAGGCCATTAAAAGGACAACATTATTTTGTCCCAATGCGTTGCAATTCAGGGAGGACAGGTTCAGGTAGAAAGAGTGTCCCAAGGAGCAACAGAAGTCAGGAGTTTTTACAGAGGGAAGAATGACATCATGGTCAGGCAAGGGTCACAAGGTGGAGTGGTCAGGTGGCGGCAACCCAAAGTGAAAGGAAGGGTGGTCCCCTTTTCTCAGTTCTTGCAAACAGGATGTCCTCATTCCTGTTGGCTTCTGGGCTGGCCTCTGGGGATGTCATTTGGCCAGGTGAGCTGCTGGGCCCAGTTTCAAAAGGACAGCAAAAACTACATTCTGCAGTGGTTTCACTGGGTCGCCTTTAAAATGGTTCCAGTGAGGTCAACTCCTCACGGGGAAGTTGGGAAGTTCTTTGTACTGCTCTTGAAATTTCAAAATGTTCTGATAGCCTGGAATCATTTGGAACTCCAAAATTAAAAACACATAATGACTATCTTCTTTGATCTCTCTACTTCTCTGACATGGCAGACCCTGGACATGCCTGCAAAATGAAGGCTGGATGTGGAACGTGGGCTCCAGCGATCAGGGCCCAGTCTCCTTCCAGCACACTGGAGAGCTACCTGCCTGTCTGAGTCACACCAGAAGCAGGTGTGTCTGTTCATCAGACTTTGGCTTCCAGTTGCAGGTGCACCTAGCATAAAGGCTTGTCATGTGCAGTCTGCTGGGGTGGATAGTGGCAGGCTGCCAAGGGAGGGCTGGCGCCGGGGAATAGTGACGGGCAGGGCAGGTCCAGGGCAGGAGGCACAGCACTGAGATGTTGATGTTGGGTGACACTCACTTTTCCTTCACAAGCCCCCACTCTTTTCAGAGGACAGAGCTTTGAACAGCCAAGCTGTTCGGGGTGGAGCTACAGGAGCTACAGAATGAGCCGCTACCATGCCAATCACCTGCCCACAGCATGGGGTGGGCTGGTCTATCGACGGACAGGGCAGGGGTAAGGCAGCAAGCTGCTTTGCAGGCCTCAGTTTTGTTGACGAGCTTCCACCTGTACATGGCAGACTTTTAGCAATGCCACCCTGTAAGTAGAGATGGTATCAGTGGCACTTTTCTCTTAAAAAACATCAATTATGACAAACGTCATCTGGTCTCATGGCAAGTAGGCTGCCACCGTGACATTCACCTCATGACACAATGTCCCTGTCTACCGGCAGCTCCAACATCATGCACCCTCACAGCAAGAGAAAGTAAGAATCCGAAAGACCCAGAGGCAGGTTCCCTTGGGTGTTTATGGTTATGCTGACGGTCACTAGGCTGTCTGGTGACCAGCCGGGTCCTATCCTATGATGCCTTCCTGTCCACCAGGCCCCAGACCTACCTTTGGTACTGAACCGTGAAAGTCAGATTCCCTTTGGGTAAAGGTGATTCCCACTGTAGAATGTTCTTGAAATTAACTGAATTCACTCTGATGTTCTTAGGAGGTGGCACCATTCCCAGTGCTGTAAAAATAAGGGGAAAGGCTTGCAAGTTATTTTCTTGAAAAGGCTGCCCCAAAGGTGCCCGAGGAAATGGCTGTATCAAGCACCCAGTTTCCTAGGTCAAATGGGCACGTGGAGGAGGGAAGACAAACTTGAGAAACATGTTGAGGGTTCGGGATTTTATTTGAAGAACCACAAGAAGAAATTGCTGGGGGTGGGGGGGTGGGATGTGGACTGAGATGGGGAGTGGGGATCGAGAAGGGTGACTTGGGTTTGGGTGGTGGTAGAAAGGTGCGAGGGGCTGGATAGTGGATTTGGATCAATTTACGGAAGCATAACTGCTAGACTTTCTGATACATTTGGTGTGAAGAAGCAGAAGTTAATATCAAGCCTGGCTGGGAAACAAATCAGATGACTCACTTTAGCTGGGACACAAATCAGACGACTCACTTTAGCTGTACTAGATTTAAATGGTGAAGGAGATGCCAGCAGGAAAGTTAGACAGCTGGATTGAGCCAGGAAACAGATTTATGCTGGAGATAACAAATTTTAAGTTTTTTCTTTTTAAAGATTTATTTATTTTACTCATACAGAACTACAGAACTGGGGTACAGGCCAGAGATGCGGTGGGTGAGAGGATTCATCAGAGACAGAGCGGGGAGCAGAACAGGCAGATCCATGAAGTACACTGCTGAGGGGAGCAGCGGGCGGGTCAGGAGAGGTCTGCCGCGCCCTGTGGTCACCTCCGGGGCAGGCGGGAATCGAACTCATG